CCCCAAAACCCCAAAACCCCAAAACCCCTTTGATACCAAGATAAATTGAGTTGATCTAGTCTTTAACAAATTCCTTTATCTCTTTCTCTAAATACTCTTGGACAAGATCCAGCAATCTCTGTGGATTCATCTTCAATCCTTCATTCGCAATAGCACTCAAATAAAGCTTTTCTCTATAAGTAGAAACAACGAAAAAGAACTTCACATTTTGATGAGGCGTCCCGAAAACACCTATCTTATTACAAGTCTTGTTAGCAATATACCAAGGTTTTGAAGAGAATGGCACATTAGAGAAGATCATGCCTGCTCCGTGGTAGAATGTAGCCATAAACAGGCGCAGTATCACCTCAGGAAGGTAAGGGAATATATCAGAGAACCTCTTTATACAGAACAGTGAGAAAAAGTCTAGATCTGTCTTAAAGTTTCTCCTAGCTATCTTTATAGCCTGATCTAGATCTGGAATTATAGGGAGTTCAAAATGTGATCCTATAATAAGGTTACTACAAACATAATAGAGGGAGGTTACACACCGATACTTTCGTTGAACAAATTGACATCCTTCATTGACTCAGGTAAGCCTCTCATATTAATAGAGTTGATGGTCTTGATCCTTTCAGCTCCTTCGATGCCATGCTCCTTGTACCATTTATCAAGGTTGACTCCTAGAACGCCCATGATGTAGTCATTGAAAGAGGTTTTCTCCTTAAACCTCTTGAAGCATTTCTTAATTTGCGGGAAATCAAAGGATTTCTCAGCCTCATAGAAATTGCAGTAATTTGAATCCTTCTTTGTCAGATCACTGATTTGGGCAGCTTTAGGATCTGTAGATAGATTCAACTTTTTGGTCAGCAAGTAGACACTGTATAGGGGACCGATGATTGTACAGATGGCGTTGATCAGTAGTGGTGGAGATGGGAATTTCTTGCTAACTTCTAATCTTTTGTCTTTATCGTTCATTGCAGAGAAAAATCCGACGATACCACCACCATCTGCACACGCATGATGAAATTTAAGCATCATTGCAGACTCAGTCTCTGAGTAATCCTCTACCAAATGTAATTCCCAAAGTGGCTTTTCAAAATCCATAGCACCATTAACAATCTTCTCTGCTAGCTTAGTCAAATCTTTGGGACTCCTCACCTTCTGTTCTCACTTAAAGATTTGTTGTCTGCCAGCTTCTTCGCCTTGGTCCTCCCAGAGGGCGAAGCCGAATTTGTGCACAAGTTTGGATCTGAGTTTGAGGACGTGCTTGACTCCTCGTTCGAAGATGTGGTCTCTGAATTCTTCGAAGGAGATTTTGTCCATGACCATGTATCCTCCCACGTTATGGTTCACATTAGGGAGTTCAAGAGACATACAGAGGTCACCGTAGTTTAGCCTCAGATATCCTTTCTTTAGTAAGAGATGATCGATTAAGTTTATAGCAGTGATTAAGAATATTGTTCCATAGATAAACCCAAACAAACTGTAGGTTAGATACAATATCAAGATGTGGGTGATGCCATAGTAGAACATTTTTATAATTATTTTTGAAGATTTCTCAAGATATAGCTACAAAAAAGGGGTTTTGGGGTTTTGGGGTTTTGGGGTTTTGGGG